ATGAGAACTTTTAATGTTACATGAATGTGTGTATACAAGCAAGGGGAAAGTTTGTTTTTTCTTTTCTTTTAATGAATACCATTTAAAGGTAAACACAATAAGAAAAAAAAAATTAACTAAAATAGCACTATCATTACGATCATAATCACCATTATGTCATGTCATGAAAAAATAAACAAACGACGAAATGAACAACACTAAGATGTTAACGATAGAAAATAAGAAAAAGAATGAACCCATAGAAACAAGATATTTACGTATTTGAAAAATGGTAACATAATGATTAAAAGAGGTTTATGCGAAGTGATTCAGTCAGTCAGTCAGTCAGCTACAACGTAGGAACAGGTACATATGCGCATCGATCCAAGTTGTCATACCGCGTTAGCACAACAAGATGAACATCAAATTCATAGAAGTAGTTAATTCAGTGGTGGTAATGTATAAAAGAAAGATTGCATATAAGGATATAGCATAGCAATAAGGAATTAGTTCGTAGAAAGAAAGAAATAAAGCAACTTTATTCTCACAGTTTGAAGGAAGGCAAAGTGTGTATACACCTACGCCATTGTGATCGATGCTGAGCCATGTCACACACAGTCTCCAACCATTGTTTACGATTGTCACATGGACAACAATCAAGTAGCCTGCATCTACCAACATGGCTAACACTACAAGTAAGTGACTTCAAGCACTGATGCCACGTTTTAGTTTGGCCACCTCTAACTTTCTCCCAACCATCTCTAACACCAGTCAGGATTGCGCGTCGTGGTAATCGGTGTTCAGATATACGCAACACCATGGCCCAACCATCTCAGTCAATGAAGATTCACAACCTCATCAACTGATTTACCATCATCAATCCATAACACCCTGCGTCAAAACTCACTACTGCTTACCCGATGATCTCAGTAGATGAGAGCAATATTTCTAAGACATCTGTGGTCAAATACTAGTAGCTTACGAATATCTTCTACTCTTAATGACCACGCTTCGCAGCCGTAAAGCAAAACAGAACAAACTGCCGCGCAGTATACTCATCCCTTAATTGATAGACGGATATCTCGCCTTCGCCATAGGTGACGCAAATCGGAAAAAGACAAACGAGCTTATTGAATCCGTGCTGAGATTTCGTCAGACACCAACCCATTAGCGCGCGCTTCTAAAACTGGACATAGAAACTCCTAATTTGTTTGATTAGATGAATTTACCAATAAATGTTCAATTAAACTATCTACAATTTCTCACGATCTCCAGTAGACCTAAAGGGCAAGTTGATGTAAGTTACTGCCCTGACGTGCAATGTTTTATGGTGTAGGAGTAGGTTGGAAGAAAGCTAGGGGCGGTCAGACCAAAACATGGCACAAATCCATGAAGTCGCTACCAACAAGTGGACTGAATCATGTTGGTAGGTGTAGACTACTTTGTTGGGATCTGCGAGACGATAGAAACCTTGAATGACATGGCTCAAAATCGTTTGAAATGGTGTGAGCAGGTGCATCCACTCTTTGTGTTCTCCCAAATCCTTATTTTCTGAATTCTCCATGTCGCTTTCTTTTTTTTTCTAAATATATTTCACTGAATTATACTCCTTGAATAACATCTTCAAACCCTAGTCTTTCCGATTACTGCTTATACTCTTACTACCTCTACCACTATGGGATTTGAATCGACAATTGTATCTGTGTGCAAATGTGATATGGCAACTCGAACTGATGTACGTACGCACGAAGTTCTACGTTGTTACTGATTGACTGACTTCAGATGGGAAAAAATTGGAAATTTATGTATAGAAATAAATATAAATAACACTACGATCAGTTAAATAGCAGGATCAAGCCACTTTTTATTTTATATTTATTTTATTTGAACACATAGATATTGATACAAGAAGATACCAATTACATTTGCGCCACACAAATCTCATTTTACTTGGGTGAGGGCTATGATATTGCCCGGCTGCCCAAACCGGAATAGGTGGTTTATTTAAGGGGCCACACTCGCAGCCTTCCACCTAAAGGTCTGACCCACAAGGCAATGGAGCATCGTAAGGAGATGCAGTGCCATGGTAGCCGGTGACCAACGATTGGTACATACGACATTTGTTCTCTCAGGATACGGAAACCATATGCTTTGGAATTGGGGTTTTCCAACTCCTCTAGGTGGACTCTCAATGTCCACAAACTCGGTTAAAGCGCCGGACATTCGCTTTTCGTCCTCTCGACTTCGTAAACAACACCCATGGTGCGAGAAGGAAGTGAGTAGGACTTCTCTGGTATAAACTATATACATGTGGCCATGTGAGAGCATTTCGAGAGGGTGAGCGGACTATCCCCATCCTCGGTCGTACCAGGACACTTGAGGGCCACACCTTAAGCAGGACGGCTACTGACATATCAACCAGTTATACAAACTGAATTAACTAGACAAGGGATATCAAAGCTTAATTTGTTGAATGAAAGTCGAAGATTATGACTACCAAACCACTGACTAATAGAAGTATAAATCTATAACTAGTATTGATCCCAGTCAGCTTGGAAATATACAACGTCATTGATTCAATTGTATTAAAACAGGAGGGAAATGAAAGAAAACGAAAGGATATAATGAGAAAACACCTACATGAAAGAAAGTTGATGTGATAATAACCATGTAATCAATTAATATTTCCGATGAAAAATCGTATTCACAAGTGTAATACAAACCAATCATCATACACTCAAACCAGATCATCCATCAATTTAATCTTAGTTTTGTGGATTTAAACGAGGAAGTGATAGATATTATTATTATTATTATTATTATTATTATTATTATCTGGTTTATTCAATATTATATTTTTGGCACAATATAGAATTCTCAGCGCAAAGTATTTCGACGAGTTTCCGTTTCTTTCTTCTTAGTCGGTCCTGGCGATAAATATTGAGTGATCGCCAGTTAGATGTTAGCACTTCAGTGAATGAACATCTGAATAATGTGCATTCTTTTCGTTGTATATTGCCAGCAACCACATTGTCTCTTATTGAGTTTTTTGTAACTCTGACAACGAAAGGTTGTACACTTTTCAGAAACGCAGCAGAATAGGTTATGCGATTAATAAACATAATGATATATTAAAACAAACAAAAATAGATAACTTGTTGAAATGTTTAGATGACAGGAACGGGTAGCCCAGATGCTCAAGCAGGCCGCCCTTTGAATATTAGATAGATAGAAAACAAGAAAACGAGTAGATGGAGGACAGCTTTTAAAATAGATAATCAGACAGATAGAAATAAGCCAAGATGGATTAGTAAAAGTGTGCAGTAATAATAATAATAATAATCGATTCTTTCTTTACAATGAATCAGGTCAAGGTGAATTATTCATTAAAAAGAAAATTGATTAACAGCAAGGAAAGTAAATATTGATAAATAAGACAAAATACATCAGACCACAGTTTCCAGTGACATACATTCTGTACAGTAGAAATAGTTACATTGATTGAATCAAAACACAATTTAGGAAGATCTCTTAGTAATATATATTAGCCTAAGAAGTCGTCATACACACCATATCAACACACAAGAAGTCAACGTAAATGAGAGCTAATAAAATAATTAAAATATTAACCCCTATGAGTGTATATTTCAAAATGAAAAACAATCAGTTAAAGGCAGGGATGAAAAGTGTTCGCGATCCATAGAACTAACCGATGATGGTGAACAACATGGTAATAAAATACCATTAATTTACGCATACCGTTGAAATATCAGTCGTTAGAAGAAATATAGTTCAAATTGTTGATCAAATGATTCTCTCTTTGACAGGAAAATCTACACATTGCCTACATGATAAGTGTCATAAATTCAGTCAGTTACAAAGTAGGACCAGGCACATATATGCATCGGTCCAAGTCGTCATATCTCCCTCCATAGCACAACAACAACATAAACACCGGATTCATAGAAGCACTTAACTCAATGGTGTAATACATGAAAGAAAGAGTTTATATACGGATATACACAGGATATAATACACAAAGCAAAAATTAGTTCGTAGAAAGAAAGATATGATGCGATTTTAAGGGGAAGATAGATAGTGTATACACCACCTACACCATTCAGACCGTGTCATAAATTACCTAAATGTGTTTTACCAACTCATCCCAAGATTAGTTCAACTACAAACTCATCAATTTTGATTTAACCTTGAGGAAATCTAAAGCTGTAAATCTATCAGAATATTATAGGTAGTGAATTAATACCTATGATACTGATAACATAGACAAACATTTCTGGGAATACTGAATAAAAATACACCTTTTAAATCAATGGAAGTTTCTTCTTTATGTATCCTAGAAGCAGGCATAATTAATAAATTAAATATGCAACATGACTTAAATATTAAACAATGTCATGGAAAAGGACACACAGAGTCCATCTAAGGGTGCAATAAAACCCTGATCCTCAACTAATGGTGCACATGGGCTATAGGATCCTGAATGAACAAATAGCGTGTGAACCAATCGGTGAATACTGGCTACCATAGGACTGTAACTACTGACGTTTCTCCACTACCTTGTGGATCAGACCTCTAGGTCAAAAGTCCCAGTTGTGACCTCCTAAGAAAACCACCTGTTTCGGTTTGAGCACCCGGGCAGTATCCCAGCCCTTACACAAATCGAATGATCTATGTGCAGTATATCTATTCGGTATCTGCTTGTGTTTAAATAATAAGGATTAAACAACAACAATAATAACAATAATAATAATGAAAAAGGAATATGGTTGGTATAACAAATGTAGAATCATTAAATATAGTATATAATAAAGGTATATCTTGCTATTGAATATGAACTGAACAAACCTCGAAAACAAAAAGACGGACATTCAATGGAAGGATCTAATGTCAGAGCTTAATTATCTAAATGTCATCATCAGTGAAATTTGATAAATTTCATAGGAAATGCCATTTGTTTATAACAAACAATAAGAAATGCAAAAGTAAGACAAAGAACTTACCATTTTCTGCATATTCCATCACTAGATATACATGACGCTCAGATTCGATCACTTCATATAAGCGAACTAGTTGACAATAAGAAGAAGAAGAATAACCAGAAAATATGGTTAGCAACAATAATGTTGATTTTAAAGACAAAAATATGGTAACTAAGTGGATATCAGTTGAACTCATTAACAGTTAGATTAACTTTCAAAGAGAACGTTCAATATTTATGAAGTATAAATACTGTGCATGGAATCACTAAATCACACGTGTACATCTACACTAATCAACTGATACATAAAGAAATATACTAGTAACTCAAGTGAATTCCATATTGTGAGTAGTTGTGTTTGAGTTTACAAATCATTGATTCCCACCACCACTACCTCCATCACCACCACAAGCACCAGCAATCCTCTTCACTTATGATTATATATGTACATACATATTCCTTTCAGTCACATGTATGATGATGAAATAAATTCAACGAAATACAAGTACTTTCAAAAACAATCGTATTACAACATCATTCTAAACGATGCTTATTTGTCAAATGTCAAACGAAACAATCATGTATCATATAAACAGTCGATGAAATTCTATACTTCAATTTATTCAATTAAACAAATAGAAAATTATATTAATTCAAAGTATTACTATTCAAATCAATCATCATTGAAGGAATCTAATTGAGCTTCATTCAATCAAGATAGTCTGTACCTCTTTCTGTTCAGCACATTCCAATAGGCAATAACATAATGGAGTAACGCTATTTTTTTTTGGTTTACCGCCTTTGTTGTGTTTTTACCCACAACTCGTGTAAATGATGATTGTGTATGTGTAAAATTCACTCCAGCTATCTCAATCAATGAAGATTAGTACACATCCACCCACCCTATCAAACCACTCGTTATCGTTACCTAAGTAAATCATATTGAACCACCGCATTAATCCATTTTTGGTTGCCCACCACCACCACCACCACCACACATACATACATACATACATACATACATACATGATAAATCCTTCGAAGGTATCTACGGTTAAAACCTTCTGGCCTATTTGTGTCTGTTATTTATAAATTTCATTTTTATGTCTATAAATTAAAACAGACGGTGCTGATGAACAAATGATATGAACATGTCATCAACACTACGGGTGGTAAAAGTTGCCAAAATGGGGTCATAAAAATCTATACTGTTACAAAGAAAAAGAATGAACAAATGAATTCACAATATAAAAAGTATAGATTATAAATTAGACTGAAAATTTCACACAGAAACACAGAAAATAACTGTAATTGTTAGACCAGTTAGAAACGACATTATATCAGTAGAACAGTGGATCCTACATTGCCTTTCTCATTTCTACCTTTTTTAAACAAATAATAATACATCCACAATCAGACAACACAATTATAACTATGGTTTTAAACGCCTTATCATGAACTAGACTACTATCATGGAAACATGAAGAAATAACATATGTCCATTGAAGTGTTCTCATCATCAGCTTTTTACTAGACATGATTATTGTGAACAGGAATAATTGAGCAGCAAACTCAAACCAAATAATTTCCCTGGCAACTCCATTTTACAATAGCATTTCCATTGATGACTACCACTAATTGACAACCACCCAAATATCACAACCCAAAAAAACCTAACCTCACACCCAAAATCCATTCCCAATAAAATATTCAATATAATATCTCCTCTCTTAACAACAACTACTAATAACCCCCCCAACATACTATATCTTAACTCAACACCCAAACAATCAACCCACATCCATTATACCCCTCCCACACCACCACACCATATCATACTATATAAAACTCTCATCAACACTCACCTCCTCCCAAACACCCAAACCAACCCCCCCCCATCCCACTCCAAAAACCCAAACCTAAACCATCACACCCTAATCATCCCTACAAAACTTCCACCCCTACATAATCACACTCAAAAATTACCATTACAAACAACATTTACACCCCAATTCCTCATCCATATAACCATACACCCCCCCCTACCAAAAAAAACCCCTACCACACCCTACACCAACACCCCAAAAACCCCCCCCCCCCAACCCCCCCCCCCCCCCCCCCCACAAAAAACCAAAATAAAACACACCCTATTTTAAAAATATATAAATTTATATTATTTTTTTTACTTTTTTTTCTGTCAAGTTACTTAACTTAATGGCTATATAACTTAATCGATAAAATTGGATCAGTAATCAATGATGAGATTATGTACTAATGGTTACAATCAGTGAGTGACTGAATGATCATATATGATTATTGTACAATAATAACCATAAACAAAATTGTATCTTACCGATGTTTGGATGATTTAACATTTTCATAATATTCACTTCTCGGAATAGCTGATATTGAATGGGAAAAAGTATAAAAAAAAAGTTGAATAATCCAAAAAATAATTATTTTTTGATGACCAAGAAAGTATTATTATTCAATGTAACCTGGTAGATTAAAATACAGATTCCCGTACTCAGTATCTTGTTGGATGATACATTAAATATAAGAGTTAGATATGTTACCTGACTGACTGACTGCTTAAAATACATGAAGCAACAATCGAACCTATGACACTTTCTCCATAGTAACTGAGATTTCAGTCAGTCAGCAACAACGTAGAACTTCGTACGTGCGTACATCAGTTCGAGTTGCCATATCACATTAGCACAGAGATGCAGTTGTCGATTCAAATCCCGTAGTGGTAGAGGTAATAACAGTATAATCAGTAATCGGGAAGATTAGGGTTTGGAGATGTTATTTAAAGTGTAATCCAGTGAAATAAATTTGGGAAGAGAAAAAACAGACAGGGAGGAATCAGGAGATTAAAATTTGGGAGAACACAAAGAGTGGATGCACCTGCGCCATTGCAAACGATTTTGAGTCATGTCATTCTGGGTCTCTAACCATCGGTTGCTATCATCTCGCGGTCCCCAACCAGGTAGTCGACACCTACCAATATGACTCAGTCCACTTGTCAGTGATTTCATGGACTTGTGCCATGTCTTGGTCTGGCCGCCCCTAGCTTTCTTCCAACCTACTCCTATACCACTGAACATCACACGTCGAGGCAGTCATCTTTTACATCATCTGAGCTGCAGTCAGTGGGAGAATAGGCAGAGACGACGAAGAGGCAACGACGAGTGTCCCTATCTTTCCGGATCCTTACTGTTTCGTTTAGTCGGACAGCGCACAAACGACTGTCTACTGGGATCATGTCTAAGAGAGCTAGTTCTGCCCTAGGACTCAATGCTATACATACGCCGGCGAGTCCACGAGAAGCAGCACCAGGGCTTCCAGATACACGAAGTGTGAATCGAATTGGTTCTTTGTTTTAACATGATGATGTCAAATGAATGACGCTATTCGGATGCGTGTTTCGGAGACGCAGCACACATCGATGGCGCGGGATTCTAAAGTCCTAGCTAAGGAAGCCTGCTGTCCTATTTGGCAGTGTTCGGACGTTGAAAGCTCCTATGTGTAGTTTAGAGCGTTGTTTCAGGAGACCAGCAATAACGTTTCGCGTACTCGAATCATTAGTCCTAGTGATGCAAGGTGGTAAAGAGACGTGAGAAGGGTTAGTCGGGGAGATAAAAGTGGTATTAAGAGGTGTAGGAAGGATTTGAATGTGACCACCTTGGTCTCGTGTGCTGTTACGGGTATGAGGGCTGGTGTCACTCACACTGTGGAAGAGTGTTTCTTGAAGAACCTGAAAAAGAAATTGGATTAGTGTTGGTCTTAACGGCCCGGGAGCGTGACCGCAGAGCCCAAGGGACAACTGTTTGAGGCCGGTCGCGCACGGCCTTTTTGTGGAAGGTTTTTAATGTGTTAGCTCCGTTCTTCAAGGGGCCTTACCGCCGGAGACGGAAATCCGTGAGGTAAGGTGAGGTGTGACATTTTTAGGGTCGACCTTTTCTAACCCCACCCCTCCTTGTGAGAAGGCAGCATCGCTGTAGATGCTGGTTGTTTGAGGGAAACACTTTACTGCTGTCACACCCCTCTACAGTCAGCAGTACGACTTCGCCCTCAGACCTTGAGTTGCTGCTTTTAGTCTTACCGTTCTCCAATCGACCTGCCTGACATAGTAGAACCTACAGGAACATATGTTCCAGCCAATATAGCTCGGTTAGGTCATCACGATAGGCAAGCTCGACCACCGTGTCAAGGTAGCAGCTACGGTCGGGAAATGAACTCTGATGAATAAAAGTAGAACTGCAACCCCTGATTCATTGGTTAGAAAATTGAGTTCACAGTTCTATAATCCATCTGATTTATACAGTTAGCATGTCCATTTGATAGCCTACACTTACATCGATTAACTATGGCCATACAGATAAGGGATGATTAAGCACTTACAACATATACCAGCTACCTTACTCAATGAATATAAACTTATTCATTACTTCATTGTTTCAAAAGACTAATCTGTATGAAGTACACTATCTGAAAGTAATACATTCCTAATCAAATCAGCTTGTTTATTGTTTAATTCGTCATTTATATCGCAAACTAGATTGATTTAAACAAGGTCCGACAACCGTACAATGTTTTTAGATTACCAATGCTTTTCAAACTAAAATCAATCAGTAATATATTCAAATTCATCTAAACAAAGAAACAGACTCAATTGTGACTTCATAAATCCATTGGTTCGGAATCAAGATTTTCCAACTCAACTAGGTGGATCCTTCATATCTACTAACCCAGTTCAAATGCCGAATATTCACTTTCCATGTTGTCGGGTAGAAACAGGTATCTACCTCAGTAAAATAGAAGATGGTCGCGCAATGTCGTGGATTGGTTGATGTTAGAAACTGTCACCATTGGATGCCGGCTCAGTGGTCCAGTTGGTTAAGCGTTCGCGCGCGAGACCGAAGGCCCTGGGTTCGAATCCCGCTTGCGGGATCGTGGATGCGCACTGCTGAGGAGTCCCACAATAGGACGAAGCGGCCGTCCAGTGCTTCCAGGTTTTCAATTGTGATGGTCTAACATCAATCGGTTCATGATCTCAATCAAAAATTTTTGTAAACAACAGTAATGCCACAAGGCAATGAGTAGGACTTCTGTGACAGTGATTGTATGCATGTTGCCATGTGAGAGCATTCCGAGAAGAAGAGCTGGCTCGCCCTACTCTCAGCCATATCAGAGCATTTTCGAGTTTGTAAGTCAACTTGGAAGCGCGCGAGACTCATAGGTTCTGGTATCGAATCTCGCGGGGCAGGATCGTGGATGCGCACTGCAGCTGAGGTGTCCCGTACTAGGGCGAAACAGCTAGCTAGTGATTCCAGGTTTCTCGATGGACATTTTATTTAACCATATAAGTAATATGAAACAAATGTCAAACATTTTTTCCGGTAGTAGTAATAACAATAATAATACTATTAATACTCCATATTATACAATGGATAAAGAGAGTATAGTTATTGTTAAACACAAAATAGAATCAATGAAAAGATACTAAATTTAATTGATTTTTACCTCACTTTCTCTCTCTCTCTCTCTCTTTATCTCTATATCTGTGTGAATATTCGTGAGTGACAGAAATGTAAAGAGAGAATGAGAGAGATAGAAAATAGGAGAGAGATAGCAACACGTGTCAAATTGACTTTATCATTAGTATTCTATTATTATTATTATTGATTTTTTGACAGACAGCCTATTGTTTTAATTATTTGTGGAATTCTGTAATATACATATTGGCCCATTGGCCTTAGTTGTCATCTCTTAATCATTCTCTCTCTCTCTCCCCACTTACTTTCGTGCTTATGTACAAACCATACAACTAAGGAGTAAAACGAATTCGATAAGAAAAGATGATAATAATAATAATAATAATAATAATAACAATATTAATAATAATAATAATAAAAAGGAACATAGACAATTTATCTGGGAGAAAATCAATATACACACACACACGGAGAGAGCGAGAGATAGAAATGATCTATACCATTTATTACTTGATAGTATTTCAGTATCTTAGAGCAAGAAAGATAGTAGTTTCATCATAGCTCCGGCTTATCTATGGTGAAACGTATATTAACGTAATAGGCAAAACTAACATTCCCACTAAAAATTACTATAGAGGTTATAATTACTTCAAGGATTTTAATATATTTCAATAGTTGAAATCATCAGTCGATTGAAACTAGACCACCACGGAATACCTGGAAGCAATGGATGGCCGTTTCGTCCTAGTGTGGAACTCCTCAACAGTGCCCTTCCACGGTCTCACCCCCTTCCCGCGAGATTCGAACCCAGGACCTATCAGTCTCGCGCGCGAGCGCATAATACAATTGATGAGATAGGATAACAGCTATTGACTTAGGCCACATTAGCAGATGTAGGCTACTTGATTAGTGTGTGTGTAATAATCATAACAAATAGTTGAAAATATCCGGTGAAATGGTTCAGAACAAGTAACAATAACGAATCTTTACTATTAGTCATCTCTTGAGTTTTAAAATAACCGTACACTCTTCACTGCGTAAATTTGTTCTTTCTTAAAATATAACATTTATACCTAATCTTTTCTATTACTAACAATAATTTCACTACATCTACTACTCTGATATTGGCATTCAAAACTTTATCTTTGTTTTCATATAATGTGGTATATCGAACTGATACTCATATGTACCAGGTTCTATGTGATGACGACTAATCGACTGAAGTCAATAGGAGAGATGACAGATTAATAACTTTCAATTAGTAGGTTACAAATTCAAGTTTAACTTCAGTTTGAGCAGTCGGATAAAATCATCATCCTCCTATCTACAGTATCTTAAAGCTGAAAATAAATAAATAAATATGTACTCAGTAAGTGAATTGCACAAATTAATTAACTTACTTTTTTCAAACTGGCCTGATTAAGCTGAGTTTTATCGATCACTTTCACAGCAACCTGCAATAATATAATGGGGGAGGTTTTTAGTTTCTTAAGAGAAAAATAAATAACTGGTTAAGCATAAACAATGATTACCATACAAATTTCGGAAGTCTTCAATCTATACAGTAATTTGATAAATAGTTTTAATCAAACTGGTAATGAAATCTGAAATGATAATCAGAAACTAATTCTGCATGATGAAGTTGTTCGTCTATGATCAACTACATATACGATGGAGTGAAGTGTGTTAACATGGTAGGATGCTGTTCTACTTTGCATTTCAATGACAATTTCGTCTGTATATAAATCGAATGGAATACTTGAATACCTTATGTGGATTAACACTGACTTATTTTCAACGAGCTATATTCAGGCGAATATCAGTTTTGGAGAAAAACTACTCAAATTAGTATACAAATTGAATTAGAAAATTCCTAAGTGATTTTCATAAAACATAATCTGTAAAAATAAATAATGTTCGAATTCTCACTTCACGTCCAGTTGAAACATGTTGTGCTAATTTGACTTTTGCAAAATTACCACGACCAAGTGTACGAATTAACTTATATTTCCCTACATTTGGTTGATCTCTTAGTGATTTTCTGTCAGGATTGTGTTGAAACGAAGAATTATTAGCTTGATCGTTGGTACCAGTACATGAAGTTTTACGCATTAAACGAACTCCTGATGAACTGACAGTACTTGTTGTAGTCACACTAGGCATCTTTGTTACTTTTCTGTGACCTGCTAAAATTAATAATATGAAATGCCTTTTGTTATTAGAGAAAAACAATAGTGATACTATAACTCACTACGATAGTCAATATGTCACTTGGCTAAGGTGAGTTACCTACGAACTAGAAGGACAAAACAGGGTAGAAACAACTTCCACCAAACTGTAAACCTGTTAGCTTCATCAGTGTCGTAGTTAAAAGAATAATCAAAAAGACTATAATGACATCTGTGGAAACCAACAACTTGTTAAACAGCGAACTACATGGTTTCAAAAAAAGATTATCTTGTATAACAAGCCCCGTTATAGCAAGAGCAATCAACAAAGGCTCTAGATAATAGAAAATCAGTGGATGTTATCTATGTAGACTTCAGCAAAGCATTTGATAAGGTGCCAAAAATATAAACTACTCTTGAGGCTGGAAAATTCAAGAGTTGCCGGACCTCTCCCAAAGCAGACCAACGATTTCTTGCGAGGTCGTAGACAGAAAGAATGAATTTCAAATGCTCCTCCTGGAAACCAGTACTTAGTGGAGTACTGAAATGCTCTGTCCTAGGTCTTTTACTTTTTATACCGTATGTAAATGAACTCCCAAATATGGTTGAGTCACCTATGCTACTATACGCTGATGTGAAAATCGAGTCAAGTAATAGGAGGCGTATATGCATGTGCACTTCAGCCAGACTTAGATGTTATGACTAGCTGATCTTAAAAATGGTTGGTGCCTATCAACGTGGCTAAGTATGTTTACATGCACATTGCGGATACAAATGTAAACATATATAGCACAGGGGAAGTCAGTGCCCATAATCTGGATCTTCAGATGAAAATGAGCCATGATATTAAGACCACGGTCTACTGCTTTGAGATAGCAACTGAGGCGTTCAAAACCCTATGGGCTTTAAGACGGACGTTTACCAAGTTAGATACCAATATGTTCACTACAGTATATACAACCTTAGTGAGATCCAAACTTGAAAACTCAGTTTAGGTTGCAAGCCGCTGTATTAAAAGGTGACTTGGATATCTTGAGAAAAGTACAGACGGTGACTATTGAGTCATCGATTCTTGAAACCTGTTACCAAAAGTGGTGTCTACCTCTTCAATTCACTAATCCAAAAGAAAACCAAACACTCAGAAGCTTACTAGATTAGGACAAAAACAGATTGTAGGTTTTCTATCCTCAATACACAAATCTGTATATTATTTCTTTAGTAAGATTCATTTTATTAAACTATAGATACTAATTACCTTATTTGACATAAATTCCACGCACTACAGTCACATGACATCTATACTACTGACATTAGCATAGCCAAATCAATAAAAAGTGAATTAATCATCTTGTGATGTTAAAAGAATGAATACGCACTTGGACGCTAGAAACTAAAGTATCAAGTGAGTTTGAACATAACCGTGTTGGTGTTATTTACGATATTCTATAGAATAATAATAATCCCTTTATTCAATACTTAGTACTGTGCACAACTGAATTTCCAGCACAAAACATTTTAACAAGGTCCTACTTTTCGCTCACACTACAAAACTTCTATATGCATATAAAACAGGTAGAAAAACGTAAATAAAATGAAAAGTGTTCAGGAGCTGTAGTTTTTCAATTAGCAGTAGTATGCACTAGATGAGACATTGATGTGTTTTGACTTCCGACGCGCTTCTCCCTTTACAAGAAATCCCGAACTGTGAGATACTGGTGTAACCTAGTACCTACCGGAAAAGGTTTAGATACAGTGTAAAACGTCATATAAATTAGTTAGATTCAAGTCCCCTCATTCGCACTAAAGCAATGAAACATAGGAGACACAAAGACCCAATCGAGTGACCTACCTTTTCATCTTGTAACTTAGTCTACCTCCTTCAACATCACAGGTTATTGAGAAGATTCTATATTCCAGGGTGGGATGTCTATGACAAATTTGGGGTGCATCAAAGTTTTAGGGCTTCATATTCTATGAAGATCCTAATAAAACACTTTGCTTTAGATTTGAACGCCTTTTTTGGCTTGCTGTATTCTAGTATTAATTATACAACAATGAAACCAATGAAGAAAAATATACCGATCGAAATCCCTCTAATGATCACCATTAAATAATTACTTCTCGAAATTCTGTGATATTGAACCTCGATCTATCACGTTTAGAACTATATTCACTAGACTGCAGGACTTAATATTGCAGTATACACTTCAGACGTAAAAACCAGCTAACAACTAATAGCTTTTAGTCATTAGTAAGACATTGGAGTATTCAGCTATTCAACCTACTCAAGTTTAATTGATACTGTAAGTGCAGTCAGGAATTTAGTGCGTGCTTAGTGTGTTAGATTTCAAGATAGAAACAATCGGTTTATTTACAAAGTTGCTTGACAAAACAATAAAATGTGTTCAGTGGTAGATTATATGGATGAAACGGCGCTTAAAATTAGCAATAAAAAGCATCATTTTCTGACAAATTCTTCTTACTATGTTGTGGTCATATTTTATTAATGTATTCGTTCAGTCTGAGATACTGAGTCATTGTGCCGAATTCTACTCAAGTTACTTCACCTTGCCTGACAAATGAAAAGGCTTCTAGATTGTGATTAAGAATCGACTTTTCAACGAAACTTGTAGTAACCTATCTTGTTACGCATTTAATGGGCACAAGTGATGGGTATTAGATCATTTAATGCCATTGACGTGAGCATCTCTAGAACAATTGGTTGGTGGCTAGCACGATACCTAGAACAATTGAATTACATATTTGAAAGCTTCCATAAAGCCTCTCCAGCTACCCACCGGCATCGCTAGCCCTAAATTAGTCGAGTGGAAATTAACGCAGAATACACGGTAAAATACTGCTTACTACCCAGCCGATTTCCAGTAACCGCTGCTGAAGACACAGTCAGATTGCAGAGACATAAAGGGTGAGGTGGTTAAGTGAAAATAATGTTGAAGAAAAAAGGAAACCATAGAAGCTAGCTTTCGCAGTGACATTTTCCTAATGACTGTCAGTGAATACGATTGTCATAAACAACATATTAGGGATAGTAAAACTGGCGATCCAATTTAAGACCTACTTTGTCCAACCAAATCTTTTCAAAATGATTTCTCTAAGACGAATACAATAATCTGTATAGAAGTTTACACACCTTAAGACAAGTACAAAACCAGCCCCACTTACAAGTCAGCCAAAGAAAGAAACGACCCCGACTATATCGCCCGCTGGATCCCACTTCAATTAGGGATATATCAATGGATTCCCGAAAATAAAAACGATACTACAGGTATACCAACTTGTTTGAAAAACCACTTTACTAATGAGCTAGGATGTATCTTGTGCTTAAGTTCATGTTCCGATCATGGCAAATTGAAAAATACTTGTGCAAATTATTGAAAAAATGATTTCATACATACCCAGAAGCTGAGTTACTGATATCCGATATGTGAGCGATCACACAAACTAAGAAACACCACATACATTCCCAACAAACAACCACATCCTAACAACCGCTCAACACTTGAAGTCAATCAAACAACCTTCAAACTCCAAAATGACTCAGACTGTTTTCAATGATATTAGGGAAGCTTTCCTTTTATGCGTCTAGAAGCGACAAACGATCGATGCTCTATAATCAAAAAAGGCTTGGAGAACAAACAAAAGTAAAAGAATAAACAGGAAATTGTTTCAGTTTCGAAAGGATAGGAGGCCTGTGGCAGTTCAGATAATGGTGGTCTCTCAGTTGATCCAACCTTCTTTTGAAAGCACCGACAAATGGAGCTTCACTAACAATCGTTGATGATTCGATGAGAAAGGCGGTAGTCAGCTGATAAGTAGTTTGTCCTGGTCTTGTGAACAAATTCACTGTCCTCTTGAACTTTCTGTTTTGGAAGACAAGAAAAATAAGAGCATACCAGACGCAATTCATCACCAAATAGCCTAAAAACCGTTAATAAATCGCGTCTGGGTCTTCTATGGGACAATGGAGATAGGTTGCGTTTGGTCAGTTGAGCATCATACGGGAGCTTTGCTATTCTGGGAATTAGTTTTTAGCGGTAAATAAATCCCCAAAATAAATAGCTCTGTAAGTTTTCGACATTGGATGCTGACCACATTACTTTTAATGCACTCACCTAGCTGAAGGCGATCGGTCATGCATCCACGCAAGATCACGAGTGCGAACGTCGTGCTCAACACTCCCTGCAATGGCCATCCAGATTAGATCAGACGATCCTCGACATAATGATAGCCTATCGAATGTATCTTCGAAACGCCTCGCTTCTATCTTTTGATTTCATTAGGTGGGTACGGTTCATATTAGGTGTTACTAGCCAAGGCATTGTCAAACTCCGAATACCTGTGGCATCTTCATTGGTGAGCCTAACGTGATCTGGTACACCAAATTACAAACTGTGAGTCTGTTCCTTTTTGGGATTCTATATATCATTGCCTTATTTTAATTTTTTGTACATTGTGATATTTTTTCATGTTTTTGGATATATATATTTCCCTCGTTCGTTCTCGTACTTCATATTTCACCATGACTGAACAGACACCCAAAGTACTTAAGCTTAAGACTATGTCCCCACCTTCGTTTCAACTGATGCCCTTCTGTCCAGATAACATCAAATCCTGGTTTTGCTACGCAGAAGTTGACGTGATCGACACACGTGCACAATTATTCGCAGTAGTCAAGGCACTGCATTTTAGAAATCACTAAATCTTCTAATACTGAGATTTTTTCAGTCAAAGAAAAGCCTCAAGCGACCCAGAATGACATAACCGAGTTATGTCATACACTTACGCGGTATCTTAATTTTCGTAACGACCGTAAACGGTCACACACCCCTCGAAGAAGCACTTCACGTAAGCGATCTGTCTCTAAACCACGAGATACTGATAACCCCGACTGGTGCTGGAATCATAACCAGTATGAAAATTCTTCCGAAAATTGCAGAAAACCATGCGATTTTTTCAACCCAAAACACACGGACACGAAAAACAACTCGGGAAACTTCCAAGCCGGCACGCGTTAACGGCAGCCGTAGCCGGCGAACATAGCCGTCTGTTATACGTCACAGATGTGATGACGAGAGTTCGCTACCTCGTCGACACTGGCGCAGAATTTAGCGTTATCTCAGCAAATTCTAACGACCGGCTTCACGAATCGGTTCCAAACTTACAGGCGGCAAACGGAAAGCCTATCGCTACGTATGGCAAAAGTTAAGTTTACCTTAACGTTTACCTTAACGCAAACCCATTCACTGGATCTTCGTTGTTGCAGATGTTTCTATGCCAGTCATTGATATGGACCTTCTACAGCACCATAATCTGATCATCGATACGTGCAAACGGAAGCTAGTAGACGGAAACACCAATCTATCTATTCGCGTAACTTCTTTTGCTGGTTGCACATTATCTCCAGTCACAATTAAGCATACAATAGACCCATTTTATCAACCACTACTCGATAAGTATCCTGGGATACATCAAACGCAACGAAGTCGCCGTGTGTAACCAGCAACGTTACACACCACATCACGATTACAGGACCACCTGTGTTCTCCAAAGCACGCCGACTAGCCCCTGAAAAGCTAAGGTTGGCGAAAAACGAGTTCGATCACATGATAGACTTAGGAATCATACGGCCGTCAAATAGCCCATATGCATCTTTGTTGCACATGGTCCTTAAAAAGGATAGCAACGATTGGCATCCAACTGGCGACTATCGGCGACTGAATGCGAATACCCTTCCCGATCGTTACCCGTTGCCTCACATTCACGATTTGACAGCTACCTTGAAAGGTACAACTGTCTTTTCAAAAATCGACTTGATCAAAGCGTGAAACCAAATCCCTATGGATACTGACGATATTCCGAAAACAGCTATCATAACTCCCTTCGGAATCTACGAATTTTTGCGAATGCCTTTCGGTTCAAGAAATGCTGCCCACACCCGACAAAGGTTCATAGACGACGTTTTTCGAGGTCTCAACTTCGTACATGTGTATGTTGACGACTGTCTAATAGCAAGTCCGGACAGAGAATAGCATCTCAAGCATCTGGATCTTGTTTTCGACCGACTACAAAACATGGCATTACTGTAACCATTCAGAAATGTCAAATCGGAACCGACTCATTGGACTTCCTAGGACACACTATCGATGCTCAAGGCATTCGACCCCTTACGACCAAAGTGGCGGCCATTCTGGATTACCCAGAACCGACCACGATCAAGTAACTACGAACGTTTAACGGCCTTGTAAGCTTTTATAGATGATTCATACCGAAATGCGTGTTACTCATGAATCCTCTTTCTGACCAACTTCGTGGAAAGGCAAAATCCATTAAGTTGGAGGACACTGCACGAAAAGCATTCTCCACAATTAAGGAACTTATCGTGAAAGCAACAATGCTCGCACATCAAGACACTAAAGCGCCCATTACTATCGTATTAGACGCATCCGACTCAGCAATCGGAGGAGTCTTACAACAACAGGTCAACCACTCCTGGCAACATTGGCATTTCTCTCTAGACGGTTGTTAGATACTGAATCGAGGTACAGCACATCCAGTAGGGAACTCCTAGTTATGTATTGTGCTGTAAGGTTTTTTCAACATTATATCGAAGGCCGTGAACTCACTCTTTTTATTGACCATGAACCGCTTACTTTCTCGTTAAGCTCCTCTTCAGACAAGTACTCACCTCGTGAGTCTCGACAACTGGACTACATTTCGCAGTTTATTTCGGATATTCAACACATTTCTGTAACAAACAATGTAGTCGCAGACGCTTTGTACAGTTTCTAAGGAATCGACCTTCTGAAACTCGTTCAGCTTCAAGTAGAAGACACTGGTCTTCAACACGAGTTATCGTCTACAACCCTCAAGCTACGCATCAAACAGATGGGAACAGGTGTGGAAACCTTACTTTGTGACACATCTACAGGAAGGGATCGTCCAATCGTCCCGAAACGTGATCGACTCAACGTCTTCAATACGTTGCACAAACTTTCTCGTCTTACTAGGTATCCGCAATGCAGTGAAAACTGACATTGGATACACTGCGGCTCAACTCGTTTATGGAACGACACTTCGACTTCCAGGAGAATTCGTGCGTCCTTCATGCTCTTCAACGAACATGGATCTAACCTCCTACACGAACAGGCTTACAAAGGCAATACGTTCGGTTAAACCTGTTCCCACCCGACCTCGATCAACTGATGTTGTCATCCAACCTGACTTACAACATAGTACACACGTCTTCGTACGTCGAGTTTCGCATCGATGACCTCTTGACTATTGCACGATAAAAAGAAGGATGGGGTTTAAGAGGGACCAAAAATTTTCATTGCACATTATTTTCTTATATTGTATATCACGGTCCCTTATATTAAGGAAAGACGACCAGACGCTGCTTAATCTAGCGAGCTATCAGAAGAGTGTTTACCAACGACAAAAGTCGTTGGGTTTAAACTTCCGGCTGTCCACGGCTTAGGGTCATTACTACCCCAGTAAGGGGGAGTGATCAGTAGCGGTAAATAAATCCCCAAAATAAATAGCTCTGTAAGTTTTCGACATTGGATGCTGACCACATTACTTTTAATGCACTCACCTAGCTGAAGGCGATCGGTCATGCATCCACGCAAGATCACGAGTGCGAACGTCGTGCTCAACACTCCCTGCAATGGCCATCCAGATTAGATCAGACGATCCTCGATATAATGATAGCCTATCGAATGTATCTTCGAAACGCCTCGCTTCTATCTTTTGATTTCACTTGGTGGTTAAGATTCATATGGCTCCGCTGCCTGTATAAAACAATTAGGTACGAAAATGTACTACACAATTATAACTGATAATTGTTTGGTCCCATGTAGGTGTTTGGCTTCCAGAATGGATTGACAGTCTAAGAGGAAGAAGAAAACGGTGTTGATATCTTGTGTACGAAAATGTTTGAAAATGTATGTGTGTGAATTTGTCGATTTGCCAGAAGTTGGACTCCTCACCAAACTCGATCTCTTGTATGAACTTGAGTTTGTGATGCCCACTTTTTATAACCGGGTTCTTGGCTGCGGGTGCATGGGAGTACTCTTCGAGCAGGACATACAGTCAAAAAGAAAAAGAAAATTACAAAGAGTACGCGGATCGAACAGGTTTTTTTATGTCAGTGACCATTTGATGGCATGATGTAGGTAAGCATATTATATTGAAGCTACATCTCCTCAAGTCAACTGGGTAACGTGTTGGTTTGCTATTTACAAGTGTGAGAGTTCTATTGGTCATGAACATCACTAATAACTGATCAGTGTAAGGAAATACTACAGTCACAAGCACTATAGACCGGTGTAGTTTATTGGTTAATTTTGTGGTCTAGCATTCAGGAGGGCAGAGGTTAGAGTGCATATGAGGTAGGCGTTTTCGCTCACGCAACTTAAATCCATACGATGATTGCTGACTGCAAGTTGCTCAGACATGAGGAAACATAACAATAAAAAGACAGACTAGTATGCCAAAGTGCTCTGACAGGCCATAG